ATATAGATAAAAGTATGTTTTAGGAAAGCCTAGGGTATCTCCAAAGCTTCACCAAGGAGACATCAATGAAATACAAAGCATGTAAAAAAAATTATAGTCTTGGAAGCTTTGTCATATTATAATGAAAGATGATACTGGAGAAGAGGTGGTTTGCTTAACATAGACATGAAAGGAAAAAGATTTTGTCAGCGTCTGTCAATCACTGACTTGAATACAGGACATGCTAATGTTACATAACTTGTCCCAGGCATTTGAAATATGTATGCATGTACCTGAAAGAAGAAATAACCATAACTTAAAAAAAAAAAAAAAAAAGACCACCTAGTGATGTTCATTCACTTAACTCTGTGTTCATCTTTTTCTGATCTGTGATTTGGTCTCCCGAGTATGTCAAGTCACCCAGGGGCACTACGGATAAAAACAACAGGATTTGTACCAAGCAAGATAACCAAGCAAGATAACTCCTATTGTTATTAATAACTGAGATGTGGCAGTTAGCCTCCTGTGAGTTTGGTGAATGTAAATAAATTCCCTAGAGCCTGTGTCTTCACATTAACTGCTAAAATTTAATTTTCTAAACTGGTGAGATTAAGAACTAACCCTGGAATGTATGTGGTGGTTCTGCCATCATGCTGTTAAGTGCTTGTTTGAAAGGTCACTGCAGTTAATTATGATACTTCGTATTACGAAAATACGGTGATATTTTAAATCAATTTTATGTAGAACACAAATTTCATAGAGTAGGATTCCCCACTTAGTTATTACTAACACTTCAAGTTATATTAAGTAAATATAAAGAGTAGTGTTTACTTTATGACTAGGTATTAATCAATGAGAACATCTTTATGTCATGCTTAAGTTTTTGGTAATCTACCTGCTTAACTGAGCATGATCCTTACTGAAGGGTGGGTCCATTTGAAGATCCAATTCTGCTTTGCATTGAGAATATAATGTTCTAAACACTTCAATCAGGACATCTTCCAGAATTACAGGACCTAAAATTAATATATGAATTAAATAAACACAGTAATGAATAAGCACTCAAAATCATAATCACCTGAAAATTGGTCCAATTAAAAGATTCTTTAAAACAAAGTATTTTTGAAAAACAGTATTTCTCAGAAGCTAAACTAAACTTCACATTTTGAGATGCTAATATAAAATAGTAAATAACTGGACAAATGTCTATTTAAAGTATAGGTTGACATTTAGAAACTACAGAATCAGGGAAATTGGTTTTGCCAGTTAATGGCTCTGTTACCTTGGACAAGTTATTTAACTTCTTTGACCTTCAGTTTCCTCATAGAGAATGAAGACAATAATATCAAACTTACAGGACTGTTTTAAGGGTTAGGAAAAAATATTTGTAAGGTGGGTAGCACAGTCTCTAGAATATAATGAGTATTCAATAAATGCTACTTGTATTACTACTATTGTTAATTTATATAATACTAAAATGCATAAGGCTAAATCTTACTGCTATTCTGCTATTACATAGGCCAATTTTCTTAAAATTCTTGAGCTTCCTCTATTATCACATAATAGCTAAAAAAAAACCCCTCAAAGCTATTGATATAACTCATTATTTTTATATTTTAAATTTTTCATTTTTATTTTAAGAAATGGTGAGAAGACATGCATATTTGAGATTCTTTTTGTTTTCTTTTCTTTCCTTTTTTTTTTTTTGAGATAGTGTCTTGCTCTGTTGCCCAGACTGGAGTACAGTGATATAATCTTAGCTCGATGCATCTTGGAACTCCTGGGCTCAAGCAATCCTCCTACCTCAGCCTCTGGAGTAGCTAGGATTACAGGTGCACACCATGATGCCCAGCTAATTTTTTATATATATTTTTTAGAGATGGGGTCTCGTTATGTTGCTCAGGCTGGTCTTGAACTCCCAGCCTCAAGTGACTCCTGCCTTGGCCTTTCTAAGTGCTAGGATTACAGGCCCAAGCTATTGTGCCTGTCAAGACATGCATATTTGCTAAAACATCTGCAAATAATGTGAAGAAATTATATACTTTACGGTTTCATTTTACTGTTGCTAATATTTATGTTTTTTCTTAATTGCTGTCTCAGATGCCATAATTAACTTCCCAACAGATCTATTATATAACAAATATACAATGAAGAAAGAGAAAACAAACAGAATAAAGGGAATGTGGGGAAGAAAGTTGAGGGATATGACCCAAATATTTTTGCCCAATTCCTTGAATTCTGTGAACTATAAATTAGTTATGACAGATAATTATTTTAATTTCAGTAACATAAAATCAGGATTAAGAGAAGTTTAGACAACATCTTTAAAATGACTCTTCTGCTGCATACATAGCACAGGGTAGGTATACAATAACATACCAGTTGGATCAACACTTGTAAATTCTTAACTTTGAGTAGTAAACTTTTTGGTAAGAAATTGTTTAGAACTTGAATTTAAAGGCCACCTCAAAATCTAACAATTTTCCTAATGACTCTTATTTTTTATTATGAAACAACACAGAAGACCCATATGTGACTTTATACCTTCAGACAGTATATATTACCTAGCTCAGGTTTGTCCAGTAAACTGATTAAAATACGAAAAGGTTTTAGATCCTGCGTTAGAGTGCTCTCTTCTCCAAATCCATTCACTTGTAAGATTCCCACCATTGCCTTTAAAAAAGAAAAGTACATTAGTCATTTAAGTAAACTGATTGAAAGATTTTTTTCCTTAAGAAAAATATTTTAAAATGTAACCATATGTAATGGAGATTTACATCCCCTATTGCTTTTCTGAAGCCCTTTGACCAAGGTTGGCCTTCTTCCTCTGCTAGGGAAAAAATGTTATATTCTTCTGTCTTGAGAGAAGAAAGAAGTACTTAAATTTTCACTAGAGTAACAGTGGAGGAGTCAAAGAAAATTGAGAAAAATATATTCATGAGTTGATTGTTTTCCCTAAAGATGAAACACTTCTATTTATTAGGATCACCTCCAAACTATGCCACATTATCATGGCAGTATCTGCTATTATGCAATTATTTTCTCACTAGTGACTCAAAACTAACTATGTTCATATAACCTCACCCATTTAAAAATGCTTCAGATGCCATATATTTTCATTTATTTTACTTAACAATATCTTGAATATATAATTGAAATAATATTTAAAAATAATATGAAATAAACCTATAGATCATTGTAACATTTCCTTTACAATAGCAGTTTCACCACACTTAGATGCCTGTTGCACCACAGATTTCCCTGGAGCCTCACAGGAAATAACACAGGTTCTAAACTATTTGTGGAAAAGCTCCAGCTTTCATAGGGTGGACAGGTAAGAAGATGCAACTATGTTTTAATAAAGTCATGAAAACATCAAAGAGAAAAAATAAACTCTGGCCTTATATGGTAGTATAGCTTATGATTATCATTTTATTGTAGTTATTTGCTTATTATAGTCATACTTAGGAAGTTTGTGAGTCTTGTCTCCACCCCTTCAACTATGAATTCAATTAAGGCAGGACTTTGTCTTACACTTTTTCAGTAATTCTAGTGTTAAGTAGCCAAAGAATAATGAAAGTATTCATTACCTGCACCAACAATTCTTTTGAAAAGGTAGTGAAATAGTAAGTGGCATGTTCTTCAGGATTGCTGTGTCTTGTGCTTCTGGGTCCTATGATAGCACCGTTGTTATCAAAACCTCCATGGAAACAAATAGCAAAATGAATTAAAATGAAATTCTCAAAACTGTTGTTCACTAAATACCAAATATCTCAAAAACAAGTATCTCAAAAACAGCACTAAGCACTTACCAATTAGTAGCCCATTCAATGTCAGCAAGAGAGATCATTTTAGATAGTTTAATAAAGGGAAACCAATTCAATACATAAGTATCATATTATTCTTCCAGAATTACCCTGTTGTTTTGTTTTTGTTTTTCCAATCTTACTAACAGTGAAATAATAGAAGACTCAGAATATCCAAGATAAATTATAGTGTATCCTCTCACTATAGGCAGTAGGGAGTTGTGAAAACTGGCCAAATACTCAAAAAAATGTGGAAGACCAAAGTGTACAAAATGCTTTACTGCCCGAGTGGAAAGCTGGCACCATGTGTGACACTGGTACTAGTCCTGATTCCTTTCATGACTTCAAAATTTTGGACAGTAGGCTGTTACTTTGATTATTAGTTTATTCTTCTTTGTCTACTAACTTATAGTATAACCACATCAATTTATAAGGGGACAAAAGTCTTGTCAAAGGGAACATAATTTTATGGATTCAGATAGACTCAATTAAGAAGTTTCTGAAATTTCTTGATACAATACACAATTAATACTGTTACCTTTTTATTGTTCATTTACACAAAAAATTTTAGTTTTTTCATTTAGGACATATATACAACTTGATATTTAGGTATGGCAAATCTCCCTCCATCTTTTCCCAACTATGACCACACACATCAAACACCTACCAAGAAGCCATGCATAAAGTCTTCGGTTCAGGGACATATCCCTCCTTAATACTACATGAAGGGCTGCTGACAAGATCCTGATCATATCTGGTCGAGTGGCCTAAAAAAGTTAAGAATGTAAGTGTACTTAAATCATATACAAAAACATACTGCTTTTTCTTCTTTAAAAAATAATGCCTTAACATATGCTCAGACATTAGGGTGTATAAGGTACTTTCATATAATATTATTTCATTTGATCTTTCAAACATAGGAATTATATTTTACAGATTAGGAAGCAGGAAGAAAGGTAATGTGGCTGTTTAGTTGCATAGCTGAAATTATAACTGAATTATTTTAACTTCTAGTTTAAATTTCTTCATCCTATCCAATAAAAATGAAATCTGACATAAAACAAAGAAAATGGACCAAGATGGGATAGGTACAAGAAAATCACATGCTATTAATCTTTCACATGTATAGTGTTGTCAAGTGACTATAAACTCCTTAGAAGGTCACTATCTTTATCAATTCCAGGTCTTTCATTTCCTTTTAAAAAATTTTTATCTTCTAGTACTTCAACGTATATAAAAATACAGAAAAAATATAATAAACCCCTTTGTACCAATCATCCAGCTTTCACAAATCTTAATATATTTTCGTTTTGTTCCAGATCTTTTAAAGAGAAATCATTTTTTCTTTTTTTTTTCCTGCCTCTTTCCCAGTAGCCTTAATTAGATGTTTAAAAATTGATTAAAGGAGATCTGGTTTCAGCTAAAAGAGGTAAAATTTTTTTAAAAAAGGGGAAGGCAACTAATTTGCTGTTAATCTTAAGAATATTACTAGATAATCACTTTAGAATATAATCTTGGAATCTGAGAATTAGAACGTCACTTGGAAATTGACTAGTTTAACAACCACTCTATAAATAAAGGACCTGAGTCTCAAAGGGCCTAAGTGCTTAGTCAAATTCAAATGCCTGGTTAGTCCCCTAGCTGGATGAAGAACTGACCTCTCCTTAATAATAGACCAGTGAACTTTTTACTACACCATGCTTCTTGATAGAATCAGACTTAGAAAGGATTCACCTCGCTCATTTGTTTAAAAAAAAAACTTGAGAAATAACTGAGATGTTATACAACACAGATCAACAACAGCAGACAAATTATGGGCACTCCTTTAAAACACAGATGTCTTTTATTAATCTATGAAATTCTCAAAATTGTGATTCCAGGATCCCTGGGTATCTCTAAGACTCTTTCAGGAGATCCACAAAGTAAAAACTAGTTATTCATATTCATAACAAATAAAACTATGTATATTCATAACAATACCAAGATGTTATTTGCCTTATTTTTTCTTTCGACAATTTTTTTCTTTCTTTTGACATTTACATTCATCATACAACAGTGGATCAAAATGTTGGCACCTTAGCATTAAAAGAGGCAGTACAGCAGTGGCACCCACTGTACTTGTACTCATTGTATTTTTTACTGTCATGTACTTGTATTAAAATTAAAAAAGAAAAAAAAACAGTTTCACTTAAGAATGTTGATTAAAAAACAAAAATGTCTTATTAAACATTGACCCTTGGATATGTCTTTAATAATATTCTGTGTAATAAAATGAGAAGTACAATTAAAGCACTTCTAACTTTTACTTAAGTATGATGGTTGTCTCAAGGAAAAGAATTTGTGCAACTATTTGAGTTGTGAGCTAAACTACCAGCTTTTTCACAAAATGCCATTTTTACCTGAAAGAATGACTAACACAAACTATGGTTATTGAGGTTTGGACATGTGGTAGTCATTTTCTCAAACAAAGCAAGCCCATCACTTCAAAGAAAACAATTGATATTAATTGTTGCAAATAATAAAATCTGAGCATCCAAGAGAAAATTTTAAATTTCAGAAAACTTGTATTTGGATTGCAATTGTATTGTTTTGAATTAAATTGGCTTGAAAACTTCCTAATACTGGGATTAGAAGTTCCTCAATACCTAAAAATCTTTACTGATGAGATCAGCAGTGATTATAATAAATGTGATTGCTTCGTATTATAATAAAATGTGTCACCATTTGGAAAATCTGCGTAATTCAATAAACCAATATTTTCGAAATAATCAATCACGATGTTGCAAAAGCATATATGAATTAAAGATTCATTGAAAGTGCAAGAGAGGCCAGTGGATTTTAATGAAACAGAATATGAAAAGTTCTTTGATATTGTTTTAGATTCCATGTTATAATTAATTTTTAAAAACTATAGCTTGACAAATTTTGGTAGTATCAAAGAAGAATATGCAATTTTAACAGAAAATGCTATTGAGATACTCTTCCCTTTTCCAACTACATAACAGTATGAGATCAGATTTTCTTCATATACTTTAACCAAAAGAACAAATCACAATTAGATTAAACACAGAAGCAGATATGAACATTCTGCTTTCTGCTTTTAGGCCAGACAATAAAGAGACTGGCAAAAATATGAAACAATGCTTCTCACTATTTTTTTAAGTATTGGAAAATAGTTGCTTTCATAAAATGTTATTTATTCTAACATGATAACTTTGTTATTGCTAAATGAATTGGTAAATATTTCTAAATTTGCCAGTTTTAATTTATAATTCACTAAATATAGATAGATCTAATCTACATAAGCAAAAGATTTTTAGGACCCTCAATATTTTTAAAGAATGTAATGGGGTCCTGCAACCAAAGTGTTTGTGAACTGCTGATCTATCTATGTGATATCAGATATGTAGATTACAGATATTGTGACAAAACCTTAAAAAGTACAAATATGTCCTCAGTTTAGTAGAAAAACTCTTAAGAGAGCAAGAAGTGGGAGATGTCGGTCAAAGGATACAAAATTTCAGTTAGAAGGGAGGTGTAAGTTCAAATGATCTATTGTACAACATGGTAACTATAGTTAATAACAATGCATTCTTATTGTTGAGAGTAGATTAAGTGTTGAGAGTAGATTATATGTTCTCACTGCAAAAAGTAAGTATGTGAGGTAATGACTATGTTAGCTCATTTTAGCCATTCCATATGTATGTTTTAAAACATCATGTTGTACATGATAAATACATATAATTTCGGTCAATTAAAAAATAATAAAAAAACCAGGAAGTCACTTCTATTGAAGTGACATTGAAATTGACATCACCATTGATTTCTAATGTGTAAAAAAAATTCTATGATAATCTAAATTAAAGGTGTAAGCATTAGAGATTTGGGTCAGCCTTCCAGAAAATAAATTTAAAAAGTCTAGAAGTCTGTCCACTGCTTAAGTTCATAATAGCAATCATACTCTTGGTATAAGGTAATGAAGGCTTTGTTAAGTCACAATTACAATCAATACTTGCCAAGATTTTCATATGTAAGACAAGAAAAGAGGGAAAGTGGAGAACCAAAATGGTTATGTCATATCCTTATTCTCAGGTAATCTAATAATTTGGCACAGTAATAGGAAGAACTACATTAGAAACAGTAATGGGGAGAAATATATTAGAAGCAGAGGAATATTAGAATTGGGTGTGTACTTAAAAACACATTAAACGTAGCTTTTGTTTTCATAATATAGATTATAGAAGGTAAGGATTTAGAAAATATTGACTAATACAGAGAAGGTAGAGTAAGAAAATATTAAAGAAAGTACAGGCTGATAAAATCATGAAGAAAACTGATACAGTACAATTACAAATTAAGTTCTCAATTTCAGCCTACTATGACTTAAGTCCTCAGATCCTGTTGAGGAACTTATCAGCTGAGGGACTAATAATGTTGAATGTTTGGAAGGGAAGAAAGCAACGGGAAATTTCAAGTGCAAAGGTCAACACTTTTTAAAGATAAGGATCCAGACAGTACGTATTTTAGGCATTTGGACCACATACATTTCTAAGGCATGATCTTCTTTGTGTTCTTTTATAAACCTTTAAAAAACCAAATATCATTTTTATCTGTGTTTGGTCACCTCTATACTAGAACATTGCTAAATTTAGGCTATGCTGAGATATTCCAGCAGGTGTTTCTGTGAAGAGCCAGAGGGCAGAATAAAAGCCTTTGATTTAAGGGTGAAAGTCTTAAAATAGAAACTCGGGGTGGTTTATGTTCCAATTAGTGACAGTATAGGCAACGAAGTATAAAATTCTTGAATTATTAATAATTCAATTTCAAGTTGAATAAAGTTAAGAAAAATTTAAATAAATAGCTTAATAAAGAAAAAAACTGAATAAAGTAATACAGAAAAATTGGCCAATCATAATGAGAATGCACTACAATTATATACCAATCACAGTTTGTACAAAAACTTCAAATAATCTTTTCTGCTACTGTCTTTTTAGCAATAAACTTACTTTTCCAAGCCAGATACTCTCTACTACATCTTATTACTTTTGTTAGGTATGTAGTTCCACCATTCTGAATGCTTATGCACTGATGCTCTAAAAGAATTTAGATTACTTCTTTTAAAAGGAGGACACTGATTAAATTAAGTTCCAGGAATGAAATGCCTCATTTATGATTTGTCAAATTAGTTGCTCTTACTTGTAATAAAAATACTATAGAATGTCACAGTGACTAAATATATGGCTCTTAAATTACAGACAACTTTGCTAAGGGTCTAGCAGTCATCTCAAAATCACAAAAGCAAGATAAGGTGCTATCAGGGTAGATAGATGATGGCTGGATAGAAGACCTGAGTCTCAAAGTCTTGGCATACTCAGAGTTAGCAATGAGTACATTTTGCTATTTGTAGGTTAGAACTTTTTACAAAGGTATGAAATAATATACTTCAATTACCATATTCTTATGAAATCAGTGAATCTTTTTCTTCAATCTTTTTACAACAAATTCCACTCCTTAAAAAGGAATTTGCTTTCTGTGTTTTGATTTATAAAACAAAAGAATCCAATATATATGCCTTTAAAAAATAACTACACACCATGAATCTGTAATTTTCCAAGAATGCTTTATATTAATGCCAGCATTGACATTTTACCTGACTCATGTGGAATGGAAAACAGAACAGTATGAGGTCCAGTGTGCTTCTCTGTACAAGGACACTTGAGTCTTGCACTGAAGTGCTTACTGCTTCTACCTGAAATAAGAGAGTGTTTAACATCTATTGTCAATTAGGTTGGAAAAGTTTTGTCATGAAAATCTAACAACTCTTCATTTTCTCTAATAAATAAAAGTATGCTTCTGAGGATCTTATCAATAATTAAATGTATTTACATGATTTTGAATAGGTAATACATCACGATGATTTAGAAATTAGGGAGTACAAAAGGGTATACAGCAAAATGGTTCTGTTCCATTTCTGTTTTCCAACCACCCAAATACTACTAAGTATTTTCTGTAAATACAAGTAAACAAAATACATTCATTTTTCCAAACCTTGCCTTTTTCATTTAATAATATATTTTGGAGAATTTTCCACATCATTACACAAAAAGCTTCACTATTTTTTTATGGCCAAAGAAGTATTGCATTAAATAAACCCTAATTTATTTAAAAAGGCTCCTAATCATAAACATTTATACTGTTCTAAACATTTATTTTTATAAATAATGCTGTAATATACTTACATAACACACAAGTACACCTGTAAGATAAATCCATCACAGTACAATTGCCAAACCTCAGGGTAGGTGTGGTTACAATTTAAATAGTGCAATGCCTTCTATTAAGGTTACATCATTTTATATTCCTACCAGCTATGCATGACAATTTCTGTTTCTCCATACGCTAAGCAATACATTTTTTATTTTTGCCCATCTAACATATCAAAACTGGTTTGGTATCGCATAAATTTTATTTTTCTCTTATTATAAATAATGTTGAGAATCTTTTCATGTTTGAGCTATTTTTATTTCCTTTAATTATCTGTTCAAAT